GGGGGGGGGGGGGGGATCTGGCCCGCAGCGAGAACCGCGAAGCTGGATGTAGCACGGAGACGAGAAAAGCGGTACCCACAGAGACGAGAGAGAGAGGAGAGAGAGGAGAGAGAGAGAGGAGAGAGAGACACACACAGACAGACAGACAGAGTGAGAGGGAGAGAAAGAGCAGAGAGAGACACAGACAGACAGACAGACAGACAGACAGAGAGAGTGAGAGGGAGAGAGAGAGGAGAGAGAGACACACACACAGACAGAGAGAGAGTGATCACATGAAGAGAAAGCGTGTTAGTTTGTGTTGTTGCTGAGCGTCGACCGCGCCATGTAATCAGTCGATCGTGCGTGTACAGACAAACCGTTAGGTTTGGCGTGTCTTGCATTTCCCTTTGTTTGTGGTGGTGTGACGCTCTCTCTCTCTCTCTCTCTCGCTCTCGTTCTCTCCCCCCCCCTTCTCTGTCTGTCTGTCCCTCTCTCTCTCTCTCTCTCTCTCTCGCTCTCGTTCTCTCCCCCCCCCTTCTCTGTCTGTCTGTCCCTCTCTCTCTCTCTCTCTCTCTCTCGCTCTCGTTCTCTCCCCCCCCCTTCTCTGNACGGACCCCTTCCCTGTTTATTGTATGTTTGCACCTATCAACGCCGACACCGAATAATCATGACCGAAAAAATCACCACAGGAATGCGCGGTCCTCCTCATACACGGCCGACGAGCGGCCTATTTCCCTTCCCCGTACGTGGACGCCTACGGGGAGAGGCAGCGGCACAGCTTCCGGGGGAGGCCCCTGTACCTGGACCAGCGTCGCTACGACGTGGTACGCGGGTTGTGGGTGAAGCATCTCGTGGCGCACGAGGTACGCTATAATTGCACATGTTCTGCGGTGTGATTGGTGGTGACGTAAGATTTTACATCACATCATAGTTGGCCGATTTTCAAAGATCGATTCGCTCTACAGCAGAGAGAATGGTGTCGATAATGGCGTTGAAACTGTCTCGTCGGCAGCTTCGCGAAAACGAATAGTCTCTTGTGTTGATCGTCTTCATCATGGAGTAGTCGAGCTTTGGATGCCGGTCCAGCGGGGAGTATGCTCTCTTGTATCACCTAAGCCGACGATACTTGTTCGCCCATTCTCTTTCCTTCCCCCCTTTTATTTTCGATTATTTTCCAATTTTTTAGAGGCAGAGCGTGTGTGAATTTTGCTTTGATTGCTCTTTGGCGCCATTTCGGCAAGCACCCACTGGTGTATGTGTTTTTTTTTTTTTTTGTTGGTATGTTTTTGGAGTGCGCTTTTGTGTTAGTGGTGTGCACCCTTTCTGCTCGAGTGAGACGACTACGGTAACCAGACCGCCGGTACGACGGGGATGGATTCCGGCGTTATCACGCGACAAACTGAAGCGGGAGCCAATCTCGCAAAAATACGAAACATCAACTTTGGCACGTTTTCATGTGCTGTGTGATTTGAAAGCCCCCGTTCATCCTTGCTGTTCCTATACATGCCGGTTGGTTGTGTGCTTCAGACCTCGTGCGCCGTCGGTCCCTCCCACAAACACGGCTGGCTGTCGCGGCGCGCGTCTTGTTGCCTGCTGCTCGTGCTGCATTTGTACGCGCTTTTGTTGATCGAGTGTTCGTCCCACCCTGCTGACTTTTGCGTTGCGTTTACATTGCATTTGCTCCATAGTTTGTTCTGCTATTCGGTGCGCCGCCCCTCCCGCCGTCTTGGCTCCCCTCCCTCCCAGGTGGTGCAAAACCGCAGCACCAGCCGGCAGGTCATCATCAACGACCACTACTGAAAGGACGGACGGATGGGTGGACCCTCGCCCCGTCACCTCATGCCTCAAGCACGCTTTGCGCGCGCGCACGCACAGGCACGCACAGGCACACAAACCATACACATCACGTCTGCGTGACAGGCGGAAAAAATATCTGCCTGGAGGTTTTGCCGAGGAACACCATGCCCGGCGAGGCGGAACCGGGGGGGGGGGGG